GGACCTGCGCCTTTTTCGCCGAGCCCTGAAGGCCCATCTATTCCGTGCGGCCGGCCTGGCGTAGTTTTATTATGTTTTAGTGGGGGTTTTGTATGGGGTATTTTTAGAGCAGGCCTGTTATTTAATTTGATTTTAGAACAGAAATTTGTGTATATTTATTGTGGTTTTTATTATCCCCTGTTCACCGCCCTGAGTCCCGTAAGGGAGATAGGGCAGTATATAAATTCAATAAATAATAATAATAATAATAAGATGCCACAGGCGGCAGAGGCAGTGGTAGCTCAGTGGTGGCATCCTGGTAGCAGAAAGAAGACCCTGCCCTCATGCCCACGTCCTGCAAAGGCACTGGAAGGACCGCCTTTGAATCTCGTCTCTTTTCAAGAGAGGCTTATTAGGCCGGTCCAGAGAGCAGCGGTTTCTTTTCATACTATCTTGCTTGGATGTCCTCTTCCTAAACTCTCAAGCAGCGTTTGGCCAATGGGGTCCACTTAATGAGAAGCAGTTATTGTGGGAAGTCAGCCCCCCCAGGGAAAGAAATATTTTGGGGAATATTAAAAAGCCAGAATATTATATTTCCCCAAAGGAATAATGGAAAATCTAAGGCAGAAATCATCCCCCCCCAGGTCTCTCTGACCCAAGCAGAAACCAGGTCTGTAGAAATGCAAATGTGATAATCCTTTCAGAAAGATTGGAGCCAGGAAGCTTGGAGCTGATGGGATTAGAAAGACAAAAATCCCTAGAATCAACCACCCCTCACCCAAGAAATCCAACACAGGAAGTAAGCCATCAGCCACAGCCACAGAGAAGCAGGATATGACCTTTGGGACATAATAGGATTAACCTACCACCATCAGAATACCAGACAGGCACACCAAACCTAAGGTCAAAGTTCACGCCACAGGAACAGGAAACAACCTCAAAAGCCCAAGAGATATAAAAACCCACCACTCCCAGCAACATGTGGTCAGCTTTCCCAGAGCCCTCTGCCTGGCTCTGCTCTTCAGTAAACTACAACCTTCTTTCTAAAGCAGTCTCCATTTTGTTTATTCCTGGCTTGGACTGGACCCTGATGAAGATTTTTCTTTCAACAGACATCTCCCCAGTGCTGTTGTCTCTGCACCTGGACTCCGGCCTAAATCCGATCGCACAGTTCGACTGCCACCCCCCCACACCTTAGGGTTGCCAGGTGTCCACTATTTGAGTGGACAGTCCACTATTTTCACATTATGTTCACTATTTTTTTTCACAAAATAGTGGACATTTTTTTTATTCAAAAGCTTTATGATGAAATGGTACGTAATATAAAGCTGTACAGTCTACTTTTTTTACTACTTAAACCCCCCCCCCCGCTTGTCCGCTATTTTTTGGAAGCAGACCTGGCAACCCTACACACCCTGCACTCGATCCTGCTGGCCTGATGCCAAATGGGCAGTTTGGCTGCCCCCTCACCCCACTGAGTGCCACCACCATTCACAGCAGCATGCAAGCATAATTTGCCTGCCGCATCCCCCCCCCCCAAGATCTTTCTCTCTCACCTAACCTGTCACCAATCGCATTCCCCTCACAGCCCTCTCGGTCACCCTTCCCAGAGCCATCCTTGCCACCTGCCACCCGATTGGCTAGCAGCTCCTTGTCCCGTCAAGTGAAAGACCTGGAACAAACGGTGTCTGGGCGAATGGGTCGGGCCGAAGGGCCAGGGGTGGAGGGCCAGGGAGAAGGGCCAGGGGTGGAGGGCCAGCGGAGGAGGAAAGCTGGCTGTGAATGGGCTGAGGCGGGTGGCTGGGGGCGAAGTGGGCTAGACCTGTTTTGTCAGTCTTTCCTCAATTGAGGAAAGCAGATTGCTGGACTTTAGAGGTGAGTTCTCCTCAGTTTTTCCTCTCTGGTGAGGAGACAGTTATGCAAACATTCAACAACCATTTAAGGCTTAAACTAAAGGATGAGCAAAGTTTCCCTTAATTTGCAGGAAGGGCAGTAAGTTTAAGCCAGCGTGGATGTAGTATGTAGTATGTATCAATAATGGGCCCTTGGCAACCCCTGCGAAGGTGGCCTGAGTAGTCCTGGACCCTGGTGTGGACTCTAGGATCGCAGGGGGATCCCGTGGCTCCTCTGCCAGATCCCCCCCACCCCCCAATGCTATCTGGCATTTCCCATGAGTGGAATACCTGCGGAGAGGAACATTCTCCCCCTCCCTTGGCCATTTCATGCAGTGCAACCGTGCCAGGCCCTGGCTAGGGACTAGTGGTTTGAACTCAGAAGGGGGGGGGGAGAGAATCTGCTAAGGCCCTCAGGGGTGGGGGCAGAGCGTCCCAGGAGCAGAGCCCACCACAAGGAGAGATTGCAAAACCTTGAAACAACATGTCACAGATGAGGAATAAAGATAAACAGACCCCAGCGGCAAGCTTAATGATTAACTGGGTAACGGCTTCTTTCACTTGGATGCCCTTTGCTTTCCAAT